CCTCCCACGGCTCCTCCCTCGGCCTCCTGGTCATGACCGAGCAGCCCCCATTTCCAGGTTCAGGTTCCTCCTTGGAGCCCTGTCCACCAGCCCTAATTCCTTCCAAGTGGCGAGTAGCGCAGCCTCTCCTCGGATTCCTCGGGTTCTTTGGCAGGTGTCCAGGGCCTATGTTTATTGGGCCAAGGCAGATCCAAGTGACCCCCACACTTCCCTCTCCTACCTCTAAATCTGTGACACCCAGACTTTGCCCATAAGATGCAGGCCAGCATCTGGAAGACTGGGCATGCATTTGATGGAAAATGAAGTGCAGGAGAGGTTGACCACGGCCATGGTCGAGAATCCCCACGTGGTTATGATTACTCGTGGTCAAAGGCAAGAGAGACAGGGTTCACAGGCGCTGCTACGCCTTCTGCAAATAGAGCGGTAAAGACCTGCTCTTGGTTGTGGAAAAACGGGAAGAGGAGACGTGAAGATTTTTTTCATTAGCAGGAGTTTTTTTGGAATTAATGTTGGTTTCCATGGTTAAGTCCAAATCCAACATTTGTCAAATTTAGGTAAAATTTTGTGATTTCTGTGGTTTCTTGAAGTGTGAGACAGGTCACCTAATGTTTAAGTGTTAGAAATTAAATAACATATTTCTCAATTAACAGATGCCTTGGAAAGAGAACCTATAGTACTAGAGAAATTTAGCTGTTTCTGGATCGGGAGCTTCTGCAGGCTAATACACAGGGATGCATGTGAGGGATTGCAAGAGATTTTCTAAGGATATTCAGCTAATGACATTTATCTGAGTAGTGGAGGCCAAGTTGTAATTTCTGTGGTTCTTGGGACTTGAAGCAATGTGGCATTAAACAACGAAAATCATACCTCAGTTTTATTTTCTCCCCTTTATAAATAAAATTCAGTCTTCATTGTGTTTCTCTGATGTTGTTACATGACAGTGACTGAGGAAAACATTGTGGTATAAATACAGAAAAACCTATGAACGGAAAGTGAGTGATATGAAAAAGATGAATCATGGACGTATCAGCGGTTAAGCAGGAGAGAAGGGGTCAAGGTTTAAAGTGGATAGCTTATGGGTCAAACCAAGGCAATCAACACATGGATAACTGACATTTGTGGCTGCAATGGGGAAAAAAGGATGAATTAGTAGATCTGATTTTAAAAGCTATAGGGAAAAAAGCTCTATGTGTGACTGTGTTTTATTGTATAATGTCTTTGTTTTTTTGCTGACACTGCTAAGGGGAACTAGCCTTTGTAAATCTTATTAGACTTGGCAGTTCTCTCTCACTTGACTTTAAGAGAAATGAAGACTTGATAAAAATTGTAAGACTTGATAAAAATTGTTTAAACAGCAAAGGGAGTTAGTTAGGAAGAAGAAAAACAGATCTTTGGGAGAGTTCTGTCTTCATGATTAGGAGGGGGAAAAATAAAAGTGCTATTTTGTTGTGCTCTGCCTTCATGTGGGTTTTGTTTTTTATTATATTTTGGCTTAGGTAATTATAGAAGACCGGATATTCCATGGCCTATACTGCACTTCAGCTTTTTGACAGCTTTTACATTTCTGTGAATGTAAAATTAGGTTTCAAAATAGTTATATTTTACAAAAATTTAAAAAACATTTTTTCTTTTCTCAAATCTAACCTAAGTCTAAATCAACTAAGATAGAAAGATATGATAATTTCAATAGTATAATTTGAAAATGCATATCTTTGCACTGTTTATTATAAATGAATTTTAAAATGAAAATATTTTATGGGAAAATTGCTCTGTCCTAATGCTACTTTACAAGATAGAGAAGGCAATTTAATGAAGGACACATGAATATAACTCCATCTTTAAATTAGGAAACAAATATGACACAATGACAGCTTGTACTGTGTGGGAGGGTGTTTTAAATGAAATTTTTAATTTTTCTATGCATTTTTAATTCAGGGATCCGGGGATCATACATAAGCAGGAACAGTTAGGAGTGGAGAAAGCATGGAAAAAGTAATGTGTTAAGGAGAAACAGAATTAGATGTTTCTGAAATGCCTTTTATTTTGGCAAATGGATAGCTCTTTCTATAAGATAAAGAATTTGGAATTACCAAGATGCATAACTGAATAGTATACTGCCTGATGCATAAGATAATTCAATGCAGAAAAACAAACCCTTCAGGATTTTGCTGGAGCACTGATTCATTTGGAAGATTTGAACTGAAAATGGTGCAAAGATCACCACTAGTCATGGAAGGAAAACAAAAGACTGGATTCTTTTGAGTGTCATAGAAATGGAGATGGAATGATAAAGGCAGAGTCGGTCTTCCTGGAAGAATTGGCTCCATTTTGCTTATTTTTCCTGTTTCATGTGTGTCAAGTGACTTTTGAATAATTAATTGAGAATGGTTGCCTCTCCCAACAATTCATATATGGATGGCTAGGGATAGATGATTTCTATTCAGATGAAGGATAAACAAAGCTCTGCTTCTAGCCAGTATTTACACTGATTGCCACATTTCTTTATAAAAACTAATTTTAAAAAGTAAACCCACATACATTAGAGAAAATGTAGGGGAAAAACAACAGACAAACAAATATTAAACACAAATTCAAATTATTTACGGTCCCAACTAGAATTCTTTTAAGCTTTAATCTTATTTTAGTTGCCTTTATATTTAAAAGGCAGTAAGAACTGCTAAAAAAGCAATAAGAGTGCAATAAGAAAATAAGATTATCTGCCCTCACTCACCCCCAGCCAAGAGAGCCTTGAAACAACTTATGCACCTATGAATTTCTAGAATATTTTTTATTGAATGATCTCAGTTCCATCTTGGCTCTGTATATTCAAGCCCAGCAAGTTTTATTTTATTTATATACTGATGGAGTGATAAAACTGAAAAGGTATGTCTCCTGACCAGGTTAGTGATAGAGCTCAGGTAAGAACATGAACACTCTTATCCCTAAACCCTATGTCTCCTGAATAAGATTTCCAGTTCATTCGGGTTGAGACTTTTTTCAGGTTCAAGTGTTAGTCAAGGGGACAAAATATATAAAAATGTTATGAAACTAATTTATCCATCACTTATGTTCTTTGACCCCGAATGTCAGCCTTAGGACTCAACTAACCAAAAATGTCATCTTTCCTGAATGATGGATGCTTATGAGGTACATAGCTTTTTCATATGCACCTCATCTAAGTGTCCCTGGACCATTATTATTTAATGCATTTCTACTTAAGAGTACTAATAGTTTCTTAGCAACTTGAAAGAATTATTGAATTTCATAGTCATCCAGCTTAAAAACAATAATAAAAAGGATGATCAGTAAGAAATTAAACTATATTTATGATTTCCAGATCCAGGCCTCATGCATTTTAAGGTCATGTTTATTAAAATTTTATATTTGACTGTGTCACTTTTTTGCATTTTCTCTTTTTAAATGGCCATAAACACATATGATTTATGCTGACTGCTTAATATTACTGAATATGGCACTTTGACAGATGTGATTTAACAAAGCCCCTGCTTTCTGTTACTTTACTAATGTGACCAGATAGACAACCATATTCACTCATTCATTCATTCATTTATTTCTTTATTCAGCAACTATTGTTGTTTATATATGACAAAGTGCTAGGCTCATGTAATAAAATGATGAGTAAACTCAGAGATAGTTTCTACCTTCATAGACCTTATATTATATTGAGGAGACATTCATTTTTTTAGAAAAGGAAATTTAAAATGTATTTTGTATTATGTATTTTGAAGGATGAGTGCATGGTACTATGAGAATTCAAAATAGTGTGAACTGACCAAATAAAGAAACTTTTCCTGAGGTGTGATTATCAAACTAAAATCTGAAAGATGAGAATGATCTAGCCAAGTAAAGGCAGAGAAAAAGTATTAGGTATTAGCTAGGTGAAGACAGAAGGCACAACATGTTCAAGCTACTGAAGAATGCCATTGAATATGGATCTCTAACTCTACCCCTAAGAGAGGAATGGGGCCAAGTTAGGTAGAGCCTTTTGGACCATGTCAAGGATTTAAATCTGTTTTTGTAAACATGATGAAAAACAATGGAAAGAGTACAGTGTGGTTGGTAGAGAGGAGGAATTTATATTTCAAAAATTTCATTCTGGCTACATTGAAAGAACAGATTGAAAGGGAGCCAGAGAAAAAGAGAAAATATTATTTTCTGTTTGTCAGTCAACAACATTTGTTAAGCACCCACTATAAGCCATAGATTGAACTAGGGAAAAAAACTAAGGGAAAAATAGGATTCTTTCTCTAAGAAAGTAGAATCTTTGTGTGTTTGGTTAGTTATGGTTATCTAAGGGCATTCATTGTTTAGAACTCTTTGGTTCCACTTGAAAAAGCATTATCTGAATGCTTCATGAAAATTGTCATGTGGTTTCCCCAGATATACCCATCTAATCAGGCTTCTAGAACCCAGGGCAATGACATACTTTATTATACTCTCCAGTAAATTGCTCAACATGTTTTTCTTGTGACAATACATATTTGTTGTTTGATTCAACATTATAACTACTACAATAAAGAAAAATATTATGTAGGTACTTATAAACCTTGTAAGATTTTTAAATTTAAGTAGTTATTGTATAATTACTGGACAAAAATGATTCTGAGTTTTTGCCACAGTTTTTTCTCAAATCTGCCACTGTAGGAAAAATGGAATGTATTGAAAAATCTCTGAATGGGACAAAGAAACTTCTCAATAGTTTTGATTTTGATAAAACGTC